AGTCGTGGAATCGTTGATCGCGAATGGGAAACAATGCGAACGTTTTGCATAATGTTTTACATGACAGAATTTCCTTATCATTCGAACGCGAACGGTATCTTTAGAAATGTCCTAATATCGAACGTTTAACGTAGTTCCGATAGATCGATGCAGAAAAGTGTGCAATTGCACACGAAGAAAAGAAAAAAAGGTGCAATCGCATCCTCGAGTCACATATTTAATTAAAGGAACGAGCAAAGGAACAAAACCGTTGCCTTAGACATAGCAATTAGAGAGGCCTTCTTATTTCCTCATCCTTCCTGGATCTTTGCCTTTCTTTTCGAGCTCGTTACACGATCATCGCTGCCGTTTCTGATTTATATCCGCTCGTCTTATGTTAATGTCCGCCCATTAATGTTCGTATTTAATCTAACAGTCGCGTATCCTTCATTTATCCAGGCAGTTATCGGTCTCAAAAACATGTTCGCCTATCGTGGTTCGACGATCCCCATTGAATAATCACCGTTTTTCGTTGCAACATTCATTTTCTAACGCGACGTGCCAGGGAGAGAGACTTGTATCGGATATCGAGACAAAAACAGCGGGAAACGGTCTTGCAGGAAAGGTGACATCGAAGTAAATCGATGAGGACTGAATTAACACGGAACAGAGAGTTGTTAATTAATGTTTGCGACGAAAGGACGCTGTTAACTCGATATATTAATATTCCGTGCCTTTACGGAGCACTAATTAAACTGACGAGCCGAACCGTGCGTAGTCGCGAGATTCTTGCAATTTACACCTGACTATGCCGTACCGTCTCGAGCGTAATAGACGCACGCGTGCGTGCGCTCAAGGTAGCCACTGTGCCACTTGAATTCGGAATCTCCTAAAAATTAATTTTCACAAAAATGCGAAAAAATAAAACCGTTATTTAACCCAAAATCTCATCGAAATGATTACATAAACCCTTCGTTAATATTCCACTTATGATTCAGGAGTCAAAGCAGTATCACTGCGTTAACTATTGGTCAAACGAACCGTCTACTAATTTATACTTAAACTAAGAGAAAGAGAGAAAAAAAGAAAGAAATCCGTATACAGGATGAATTGCAAATGATACACACACCTGTGAGGCTGTATCCTGTGGTAAGCAACGTAGCCACACCCCTGAACGTTTACAGTAGTAACGTGATATATTATATCGACACGAAACACTCTAATGTACTGTGTAGCTGCGATAATGACAATGCCCACGCGTGCACATCTTGTACTACATATACGCGTATCGTTCTTCAATTACCCCTCGTAACACGATATACATACCGTAGAGACGAGGCGCGTTAGAACCCGTATTACACGTATCACGCGTGGAAAACAAACTGTTAATACAGGATAACGCGCTTCGATCGGATGTTCAACCTTAACATTTTCACTTGTCAAATTTCCCTCGTCGAATCAGTTCTCACGGCACGGACGTTCGATCTCTTTTTTAGCAATCTATGTTTAAATTTAAGCTTTCGTCGCATATATAGGTTGCCAAGAACCACTTCGAATAGAAGGTAAAGCTTTCTTCGAGTTCTAACATCTGGTACCCTGAATGTCCGTATCAGTTCGACGAGAAGGAAAGATCAGTATGTAACGAGCCCGGGACAGAGGAGCGAATTCCAAGCGGAGAATTATCACTGTTTATCTAAACGATATGCACCGCGAGTGTTGACCCTGGGTTGCGTAAACGCATGTCTGACTCGTACCGCTCACTCACTGATCTCACTTCCTGTCTCGATTCTGACCGCGTCGCGGCCTGATCAGCTCGACGAAAAAGGCAGTGGAAGCGCGCTAGAAAAAGGACCAGTTACTCCTCGATTCCGTGATACTCCATTAAGGAGAGGCCGGTATCTCCGTGTGTCATGACGGAAATAGCTATTTCAAGGGTTTCTTCGTTGTTTCCTTTGGCATCCCTGGACAGATGTTGACTGATACGCGTCGACCAGTTCTCAGGTTACTAACAACATGCTTGGATCGAGTGTTGATGATACTCGAGGGGATGAATTTCGAGAATAATATGAGATTTTTGCTTTCAGGGTTATTCGATATCCGTTGATTCTGTTATCAGTGATTATCGAATATAGACAATAGAACAAATGATTTTCTATTTCGTTATCTGTGACTTAAAATTGACAAAGCGTTTCAATGTTCTATACCTACTTATCAGTTTAAGTAGAATTTATCTCGGTGAACCAAAGGCAACGTCATTGACAAATGATGTAGACAGTTCCACGAGGACGTCGCTATTCTTAGAGTTTTATCAGGCTGAATTTGCTTTAGGTATCAGGTCTGTGTTAAAAAGATCCTATTTGCTTTGACAATCTTTCATGGGAACATAATGGCTTTAAAGTGAAAATAAATCCGTCTATAAAAATTACACGAAAATTTTATTCTACTTTATCGTTATCACTGGCAATTTGAGAAATTCAACAGATGCGTGTAGATTGGTTACTTTGATGGATCATTTGTCTTGGATTATTGTGACACAAACTGTCAAGATTCAAGAAATACGATCTTTGTCCATAAATATAGGCGTGACTTCGTTTACAAAACCGTAACCGTTCGTTTTAGAACGAAGCTCTGTTACATTTTGTTATACCTAACTAAATATACTCTGTATCGATTACATACGATGATATCGGTGTTTGATTTAGTATTTGCGTCAAATGGTTAGCGGCTCGTAGAGTCTGTTGCTGGAAATTTGGAAAATTTTCATTAACCGGTGAAACGCGTTTGGAGCACGGGTTACGGGGAACCTGTTGCTACGCGTTAAATACGCTAATCGGATTGACAAACAACTCTAGAAATAAACAACACCGTGACGACGCGACGCGTCGTTCGTGAAAATTGTCTACAGAAGTCGTGTTTCTCGTTTGCAACGTCTCGACGATGTTGTTTGCCCGATCGAAACTGGTCCCGGCAGACACGATCGTCCAACACTTTTCTATCATTGGACGAGAAAAAATCGGCGGGAGAAAGTACAGCTTGAAAATAAACGACACGTCGGAAGTATATTGATTAAAAAATTATTCAAGATCGTAAAGAATAAAAATTTGAATGTCCATCGTTTGACCAGTTGAGAAAAGAGCAACCGGTACCTATATGAATTTCAAACTACGAAAGGATTAACTCATCTTCTAATTCAGCATCCGTATAAACGAGGTAGAACGAAACGCGGAACAGATTTGTCGCGACAAGTATTAGCGTCTGACAGCCGAGAACGGTGTCAGAGGGTCCCGTCACCTGGTGCTCGTTCCAAAGTGGCGTCCCTTTGGCGTCGTGTTCCGGGCGTCAAATAAATCCGTCCCGGTGACTATTTAACGACACTCGGCCATAATTAAATGCGAGTTAGAAAGGTGGAACGAGTGGAAAGTTACACGGCTCGCTTAGCGAACGACAGCGTGCATCAAGCCGGGGAAGACGCGTTTATTGTTGAGGGCTAACGTTTAACCCGTTGTGTCGCCTACAGAGTCCGCGTACGACTTCGTTACGTAATTGCAACAGGTGTGTCGGTCCCTCGTTGGCCGGCCACGTGTTCCCGCCAAGTTTCTCGAGCCTCGAACGCGGAATCGTTCAATTCGTTCCGTGAGACGACTACGTTATTTTTCTTCGGATTGATTGCGAAATTGCATCCGATATTGTTGTCGTTATATTAATCCTTAAGAGGCTCTGTCACGGAGTCATCGCATAAGTTATTCATCTACGAACGCTACGCAATTAAAAAGACGGAAATATTTATTTTTATTAAGATTAAAATAAATCGCGGATCTGGTTATGTCTCATTGCGCGGCGTTTCTCGAATGCTGAACATTATCGTACGCAAAGTTAACTTTCCATCGAACAGCGAATACCGATGGTAGCCTGAGGAATTTTAACATACCCGTTCTCCTTCCTGCTCGTCCTTTCACGCGTTACTCTCGAAGATCGCGTGGCCTCCGTGCAAGACTTCCTTAAAATCGTTCCACCAAGGTTGCAGCCGTGAAACAATAGAAAGCGAGTCGATTCCGCGTGCACTGAGGTCTTCTAGATCGACGTGTGCACCGTTGCGAATGAATTATATCGAAGCCAGGAGGGGAAAATCATTCATAGACGATCGTGGCGAACGATCGATCGCAAATTGCCCACGTTTTATTCCGAGCCCTGCATTTCTGACGCAACGTTTCCTGGAGATCATTGATATCCGATTGACGAGATAATAGCTTAATGCGCAATGGATTCTTCGATGAACGATCTGACTCATTTCTAGCCTGGAATCTAAGAGCGAGGCTACAGGCCACGATTACATCGGAATACGCATCGTTAGCGGATAGATAATTAATCGCGATCGATTTAAGATAAACCGAAGGAAGGAATCGTTGCAGATCACGGCGTCGATGGCACGCGCGTTGAATATCGTACTCGAGCTGTGCTTTGCGCGTTCTATCGTTTTAGGGATATCAGTTATTATTAGCCTGGCGCAGATGGCACATACGATGAGTCAGAGGAATAAATGCCGACCGATGATAAGTGTATTCAGCCAGGAAGATAGCGTTGAAACGACACTTTTAACAATAAGTTAAGCGTTTTCCATCTAATTGCATAGCGGATTGAAACTGGTAAAAATACAGTTAGATAAATACACGTTGCAAACATCTTGATAACCAGTGATATCGATCTGGATGGTGAAACGAGAAGAAAAGTAAAAGACGAGTGGAGGATTAACTTCGGATTTTTTTGAAATCGAATTAGTTATCACCTCTCTAAGAATGACAGGGAATTTCTTCTCTGACATTCCTCACCCACGTGCTAACGAAGTAAATGTGCTCGTAGAAAGCAATCAGCAGGTGACCGTGCTCCGAGGAAACAGTTCCTACCACGGTGCGAACAAAAGGCAAACACGTTCGCTCGGTTGTTTAACGTCTCGGGCTGGCACCTTCTATTTTCCTAGGTAGAAATATGTAGGGTTGTTTAAAGGGAAATTGTTTTAATTGTAGGTGAGCGGGAGGGAGGCGGTGCTGACCGGTGGCGGCGGCGGCCATGCGCCCCGGCCCGCCAGTACAGCCGAGCCGCCGCAGGCCTCCCCGTCGCCAGGAACTCCATCAGGAACGAAATCGACGGCACCGGCAAGATCAGCTGCAACCGCGTGGCCCACGGCCGAACGGGAGCAGCTCACGGGCCCTGCTGGTGTTGCTGCTGCTGGCCAGCAGCCCTCTGGTCCTGGGCCTGGCCGAACCGCCAGGATTACCCGGGGCCGAGTGGCAGCAGGCACTATCCAGGCAGACTTATCCGAAATCCACCTTCGGCAGAAGCATTCAACCGAGGAAGCAGCAGAATCTTACCATTGGATACCTCACGGCTATCAAGGGCGGCCTCAAAGATCGCCAGGGACTCGCGATTTCGGGTGCCTTCTCCATGGCCCTTGACGAGGTAAGTTTCTTAATTAGCCGCGTCAACAGTTTGCGATTCAATTAAGCACGTAACGGCTTCTGTTTCATTTCATTTTTAACTCGCTTCTTCGTTTTATCGATGCAATAACGATACCACGGTGACCCGAATGACGCTACTGGCGAATCGAGTGCGCTGTAGTTGCGCCCACGATGTTCAGGTTAAATCGAATAACAATTATGCAAGGTGTCCATTCGAAATCTAAACGGCAAAGTATTCAGTCGTATCGATAGGTGTGTCCAGTAATCTTCCCTCGACCATTTATCTAGGCACGCGTGTCTTTAATCTTCTTTACCAGCCGGAAGTTGTACAAAGAGATTATTAATTCACAACACATGTTCGAAAGATATTGTTGCAACGATACGAAGCTGCCCTCGGGGTCGGAATATTTATAGAACCAGAAGAATCTCTTATTTATCCCGGTGTACTTGTACGCATATTAGACGTATCAGTAGACGAAAATACGATAATAACAGTATTCTCCTTGATCCTTAAATTCGATCCTTCCGATCAAAGGAGAAAAGGATCGACGGTACATTTAGCTCGTTAGTTTCCAGAAGTATAGTTGGTTGCCGTTGGAAATCAGTTTCGAAAGGAGTAGTCCGAGCGTGTCCTCCTGCGAGTCGCCCTTAATTACGGTAGCGGGCCCTTCGGTTCCCACGTAGTCCGCGGCGAATCCTTGGCTCGCCGAAAAGTAAGGTCGGTAATATCGTGGCCCCTGTCTCGGGCTTTTTTCCTCCGGGCGGTCACCGTGCGGCGTGGCGTGGCGTTCCACGCTCTGGAAGGCTCGATAATTCATTGGAGGATCGGCGCGTACGCGGTCGCGAGTGAGCGAGCGAGCAAGCGAGCGTCCTGGGACCGTGAGATCGTTTTCGCTGGTGGAGCTCGCCGGTGAGTCTCTGCCCGGTCGAATAAGAGAAGAAAAAGAGAAAGGTGCTCGCTGCAGCGGGAGCTGCAACGTGCAGAGTGACCCGGCAGATCTCTCCCCGGAGATGCCGATTCGTGGCGAGGGTTTAAAAATACAAGACCGGCATTATTCGCCGGTCCGCCCACGCGTCCGCCGACGAAACTGCACTCTCGTCGCAACCGTGAGAAGAATTCGTTCGCGATCGAGAAACCTTCTTCGATCCCTCTTATGCACCTTCCTTCACCTCCACCTCCTCCTCCTACTCTTCTTCTTCCCTCTTCCTTCTCCCTTTTTCTCCGAAACCTGCCTCCGCACACTGTTTTGCAACTTGCAACCGTGGCGCGGCTCCGGGCTGAGAAACCTCTGGGAATCGTCGAAATGACCGGCACACGATCGTATCGCTGCTACGTATCCGGTTCTACTTGGAAATAACAAGTTACGTCAAAGATGGATTGCGGTTGCGCCGATAATTATTCGGGGATATCGGTATCTCGCCGAGCCGATCATGGTAAAGCGGAGTCAACTGCCGAATTCGGTTCCAGTCGGTCTTGTTTTTCACGCGAACCGAACCGTCTTTTCCTCCTTTGAAATTGATAGCGATAAAAATATGGGATTTCGAAGCGATAAGTAGCGATGCGTTAGCTTGTCGAACACGCGTGCTCCGACTTTATGAGAGATATACAAAAGGTCGGGGCAGTCTCGACTGCACAGTAGAAATGGACGTGTGTGGTCAGACACGTTGAAATTCTAATTAACACCTCGAGTATCGTTGGGTTGCCGGTGATTCGCGTAGGTCGTTGTTAATTTAGAAGAAGCGACAGATCGAGAGGAAGCGAGATTTTCAAATCGCTTCGCTCGGAACAGGTCGCGAGTGCTAATCGCGTAACGAACGAGCGGTGTGGTCGATGCAGCTCGAAAGGTGCAGGAAACGAGCTTTGCGCCCGTTTATTTGTGTACTTCGATATGCCACGCAAGAGTAAGCATCGCGATCGCAATGTCGGCCTCTGTGCTCGCAGTTAGCGTTAAGCTTGGCTCACACTCGACCGTAACAACGAAACGCTGTGCAGATACGTATTTTTACCTTAAACATAATATACAAAGCTGGCAATCTCGTTTGGAACACGGCTATTTTCGTCCATGTTTGTCAGACAACGTTTTTCTTTCATATACCTTTTCAACGAACGACTCGTAACGAGAAAATAAATGCGGTCTGTATTTTTAGCCGGTGAAAGTTTTTCCGTGATCGGAGACGTCCGTGTCGCGACTGTCCACTTCTAATGTATTCAGCGAAATATTGCTGATTTTCAAGTTTTACTTTTGAAAAAAATTAAGTAAAGAATTAATCTTTTGTCATTTGAAACCTTTAAATTTTTCTAATTGAGGATTCCACAGGTTAATTAAAAATTTTCTAATTGTTCGAGAATTGCTTAATTAATTGACCGAGAAAATCAGAGAGCGAGTGTGAATCGAGCTTTAGACGTTTACCCGGCCGCTCGCTTCAACAGTGTGTGCAGGTGCACGTTGGCCGGCTTGCTGCCGGCGATACTTGTTGAAGTAAAAAAAAGAAAAAATAAAGTTGGAATTTGCTATGACGCACTCCCACGATGTAAACTAGTTTGGCGCGTATACTTGTAAATACGACGCGAACAGTGATTGGCGATTTCGCGTAGTAAAGTATCCTCGAACCTTCCGTTCTCGAGTCAACAACGGATCATTTGCATTCGCGTGCGATATCGTCGATTGAGACCTTTCTTTTTATTTTTATTTTTTTCTCTCTCGACCAAACGAATCGTAGCAAAGCAAGCAAAGTCGCTCTGATCGTCCCTGAAGGTTGCCATTCGTGCCTTTGCACAGCCTTCCACGACCGGACGCCCTTCAATTACTCGAAAATAAGCTGATTGGTGAAACCCTGCCACTCGTAACAAGCGCTGTTAGACGCTTCTGTTGTTGCATTGTTTCACGTTTAAACATCTCCCCAGAGAAATCAACGCGCATCGCTGTCATGCATTTTTCCGTGTTTTTCCGGCTTCGTTCGCAGGATATAATAGAATTTTTCAGGAAAATTCATTTATATTCAACATCATCTACGCGTTGAGTTCTCATTCTGGTTATAGTTTTTCCTTGCTAAGCAAAAACCTGTGGATTCCACCAAATAAATAATTAAAACGCGTTTACAGCGAGTGTACATTATTATTTCCATTCCATGGAACGTATTCGGTAGCCGACGAGGCAGGTGCAAAATCAGGAATGCGAACCATCCAACGGGAAGAGTAATGATTTTTTATAACGTTCCTTCGAAACCGCTTTAACGGTTCGTGCGATCTGAGGCGAGGCTACGAGAAAATTCGCCCTCTTCCATATGAAAGTTGATATTTTAATGAATTTTCTAATTGCATCGGCAGCTCCTTCGTAGCGTGTAATAACTCTTTGCGAGAACAATAGCTAGAGATGCGCGAGTATAATTAAGCCATTGATTCGCGACTAGGTGTCGGCTGAAAAATAATTTTTCACAACGTCGGATCGAAAGGGTTAAATCGTGTACTTTTCTATCGAACAGGAGAGGAACGAGTTAACAAAGTTCTCTCGTCTCCGGTTCACTTTCAATGGTATTTCTTTCTAGCATCGAATGGGAATGAATATCTGCCCGCCAGGAACGTCGATTAAAGTTCAATTCATAATGTTACTCGCGATGTCCTGTCCCGGTTCTTCGCGAGCGTTCCTCTAACTCTCGCGGCGTATCCGGCTCGGCTACACACATCATACGAGCCACGAGATTGCTTATTATGCAAATATGATTTCCAGCAAACAATACTTTTCCAAGTAGTCGCATTATCGTCACGTCGATTTACATGCTCGATGAAAAGCTTGCGCCCACTGTACATATCCTTTCACGGATCGATCTCGTTCCGTTAACGTTTACGAACAGGTGAATATCTTAGCGTAAAGGTCGATCCTAATGGCGAATCGTGAGATTAACGGGTAATTAGTACGCGTCAAAATAAATGAACCGTTCCTTATTATGCACGCGAGGGGGGACGAGGTGTTTTCTAATTGAAAAATGACTCAGTTAACAAGTTAACGATAATTAGGAAGACGTTCTAATTACCGACCGGTCGTTGTTTCATCGCTTGGTTATTGTTCTCTTATTGCCAGGCCATAGTTTGTGTATGTACATACACCGATGGTTGTCGACCAGAATGAATATTCATGACAGAAGTTATGGTAACGTAATTAGTTCCATTAAAGCATCGGTTGACCGAGTGTGCTGCGGAAAACAATTACACGAGATAAGTAGGTGAACGTAGTGAACGTAGTGTACGATGATCGCTGTCAGTATCTTGTCGCATTATTCTGTTTGATCTTTATTATTCGATATTGTATGACAAAATGGGACTCGGAATTAATTACGATTGAATTATAAAAATGAATTGAAAATGTTTGCAAGCTTTTATTATGAAAACTTGAAATGTGCCGACTATTTCTTTCAGATCAACAACGATCCAAATATATTACCGAACGTAAAGCTGGTGATGCGATGGAGCGACACGAGGGGAGAAACGGTGGAAGCCACCAAGGCGATGATCGATATGATCTGCGACGGGGGTCGCAGCTTTCTTTGGACCAGAAGGCTCGTGCTACGTCGAAGCCATAGTCGCTCAATCCCGCAACATACCCATGATTAGTTATGTAAGTACTTTTAACGCTATTTAAGATAACGCTTACTTTGCAACTGCTCGACGAAACAAGATTTACGTTATTTGCTAATATTATCAAGAAACAAAGATTCTATTCTATTTCAAGAAGTATCTACCTTTCTTGTAACACCTTGTAACAATGAGTTAGCAGTACTGAAAGTAGCAGCAATTGTTGCACCGTCAGTCAAAGCGAATTTTCGCCGCTTATTCGATGTAACCTAAGAGACTTTCGTCCGCCGCCTCGTGAGAAGATCGAGTTTGCCAGGGTGACGAAGGTAGCGTCGAAGTTGTCGAAGGTGGATCGGTTCAGAGATGGTTAACGAACGCGGGGGAGGCGGATGTGTGCCGACAAATTGAACACCCGCGGCGTGACAATATAATTACAGGCTGCTTCCGCGTGCGAGTGTGTGCGTTACGTAGCTTTCGTACGTGCTATGTTAGGGAACACGCGATGCCTCCGCTTCGGGGCTTCGATCGACCGGCCTGAAAAATTAGCATCCAACCTTCTCTTTGGACCTTCTATCATCCGATCTTCCTTTTCGAAGGAGTATCGTGCCGATGCACTCACCCTCGCTTAGCTTCATTCGTCTTCATCGTGACTTTCAGAAGAAAAAAAAAATTGTTCTTCACTTTATTTATGTCAAGATCAGAAAATAGTATTTATAAGATTTTCTTTGATATTCTACATAAGTTTATCGTCCTCAAAGGGTTAATATACGAACGCTTGTAAGACGTTAAAGAAATTCTAGCAACTGGCTCTACCCAAGGTTGATTCGTGTTAGCCGCGTAGGTTGTGCCTTGAACCATGCTCGAGCTATCTTGGGTCGGACTTATCGCGTGCCCAAGATATTTTAAACAGCAGATTAACCTAGGTCTGAAGCTCGGCAACACGGTTGCCTGAACAGGATCTACAGAAACGCATTGATCACGGCCCGGTACTGAATCGAACCGGTTGTGCACTCGATCAAAGTGGACAAAGCACGATTTACGCGCAATCGGATCGGGTTAAATCTTCCTATGCCCGAATTGCTTCCATAATAGTTTCTTCCTTTCTAATCGCGGCGCGATCCTCTTCAATCGTCTTCGTGTCTATTCTAAGCCGCGCCAGTCCTAAGATTAGACCTCTGATCCCAATTAGGATGCTTCGCTCGTTGATAAATGGACGGTCCTGGTGCTCGTGAAATCGTACCACCGATGGAATGCACTTTTTTATAGAACAAGACGGTTCGTTCGCTTTCGTTCCGACAGGCTATTTTCGTGCACGCAAACGTAGCAGAATCATCATCCGATGCAGTTTCATTCGTTGTCACGGAATCACGAATACAGCCACTTCATCGTTGTGCCGTTGATATTGCATATCCTTCCTTTATCGTTTGATAACAGGATTAAAATCCTTTTGCTTAAAATTACGTTTGAATTTTCCCGTCTGACCATCCGAGGGTTAATACTACTTAAACTTCTATTACTATTCGAAGGATGGTGGGAAAGGAAAAGAGAAGAACTCTCGAGTGTTAGAGTGTCACGGGGTCAGGGAATAAACTACTCTCTCGTCAGGGTCGGGACGGAAATTTCGGTATCGTAGGTTATTTATGGACGAAATTATCAAGAAACGAAGAGTCGAACAGAAACGTCGTGTCTGGTGTGGTAGCAGTTTATAATAAAAACACATGTCACGAAGCCGCGCCTATTTTTAACCGGTTGATCAGAACTGCTCGTCTGCTTGTACGATTCGTTAATCGTCTGGAGTGTTCAGACCACTCGTTTGCGTGGAATTCGCCGTTCGAAAAGTAGCACGTTCGAATTTATCTGTCTTTCAACTTTCCAGTAATGTTTCCACTTGTTTATCGATCAAGAATTTTCGTTCATTCTAGAACAAATATTCGTTCGGTACTTCGTACAAAAATACCACAAGCATTAAGCACTTTCACAGTATCTGGATTTTTTCCTATCTGTATTTTCATTCCCGCGTATCTTACTTGTTAATACGTCGACTACTGTAGTGAAAATGGACGGATGTGAAGACACCTTATAGTATAATTCAGATAGCTATTTTATAACTTCTTATCTATGCACATATTTCATTATAATCTATCTAATAGGGTGTCGCGCTAGATATGATTATTTTTACTGTAGCAATCAACCTTTTCATAATTCTTACCGAGGTGAGTCACATATGGTTGTTTTCACTGCGGCAACCAGTGTTACCACGTTCACTGCCACAGTAAACCTGAACACGTGTAATAGAACGTATCGGGGCTCTAATTATTAGGAGGGAAAGAAAAAGAAGAAAGAGGGAGAGCTACATATTTTCCACTATGCTTCCACGAAGCTGTAAGAATGCAGAGTCCGTGGAGGACTCTCGCTCGATTGCCGGATAATTCGAATATGAGAAAGTGGTACGCGAACGTAAAAAGGCCTCCAGACTAATTTATGTTAATTGGAGGTCGTAAGAAAACGAAACGTCCACGCGAGAACGGCAATCGTTTCGCTGGCAGATGAGAAGGAAGGGATTAAAGGCACGCGGAGGAGGCTAGTGCGGTGCGTTCGCGATTCGAGCGTAAATCGGCCCTTCTCTCGCGGACCGTTCCGCTGGACGTTAGCAGCTGCATATAAACGTAAGGAGAGCCTACTCAGCTTCTTACTTTCACCTAGTTTCACTCGTTAACGGGCGCAGCGGAACCGCATCGAGCGTCGTCACGCGGCCACGCGTCGTTGAATTTCGTCGAGACTCACGGTTTTTCCTTCCGCCGGATGTTTGCGTGGCTTCTATTCGCCTTTCCGTCGGATTGTATTCTGCCTACTGCTATAACATATCAGTCGACTGTACACGTTTCGCGCTTATTATTTTCGTCGCCAGAAACCTGCTGCTCTTCTGTATGAATTTTTCAAAAGCCCTCTTTTCGGCCCGATATTATTTTCCATTTCTTCAAAGGAACACGCGAAACGCGTATAAATCCTGGCCGCGGCGGAGCTCGATGCTTTTCCGATGCACCGAGACGTCATCGTCTCGGGCGGCGCGCTGCAATCAACAGGTGGTTGCACCAACCACGATGCAGTGACCCGCGTGTGCGTGGACGAGCGTGCGCGCGGCTGTACACGCAAGCAGAGCCGAGAGTCCACTTATCGAAAGTTCCCACTAACTCGTGGTACCCGCATACGCTCGTTACGAGATCTTCGCCGTTGCATAGGTGGGCATTCAGGCTCTGCATCCACCTACAGGTATGCACCTAAATAGGTATTCTTGCTTGTACAGGGTGGTCCACGCAAACAGGCTCGATGCGATTTGCATTTCATCCGGTAAGCATCCGTTACTTCGTTCGGCTTTGAAATTCTTTGGAAAATAGTTAACATGGTACACCACTCTCTGACGCTAACAAGAAATACGCTTATGATATTCGAAATTCTTGATAAAACCTTGCGAATTCCAGGGAAATCTCGTGGCTTTGATATTTCTGACGGAGAGAAATAGATTGCAATTCTTTCGGGATGAAAGTAGATTAGAACGTCGGTGGGTTTCAGGTAAACTGGAAGAATAATCACGAGTTCTGCTAGGAATCTGTGGCGAGATTGTTCGCAATTTCGCGCGCAATACTCGGCGAGGGTCCGCGTTAACGGCTCCACGTCGAATTACCCTTTGAGACCTTGCGTAACTCGATTTGAAACGTTCACTACGGCATGTAGGATGCATTGAAACTCGAGAGGAGAATCGCGCGTGTAAACGGGTGAAAATGACTACTAGCCACGGTTAGACTGGCCATAAAGTCCATTTACCGTGCGGCAGCGAACGTATCGTTTGGACGGTAACGCGTCACCGTATAAAACTGACATTGTAACCAACTTGGACGACGAGTTTTATCGTGAAACGCGGAGACAGAGAGAGAGACGATCTTCGCCGAGGCATTTAGTGTGTCATCCTCTCCTGTGTTCACCTCTGCGTGAAAATCTCCAATTCAAATTGCGTGGCCGCTTCGATGATAAAGTATCGAGCAAAGGCACGAAGTAAACAACACGAATTATGAATACATACGCTGCCAGTCAAAAGTGTTGAACGACAATTCGAAACATTTTAAGAAATCATTCCTTTTCAACATTTCTCGCGAAAAAGACTTGGGTCACAGAATGGAATTTTCCTGACCGATTTTCTCGGCCAATAGTGTAAATTTTAGACTGGAGTTTTCGTTGTAATACCGATCAGAGAGGCGTTTAATCCGTGGCTTATTCGACCAAATCTAAAACAGATGAAATCGTAACGATTCCGCAACTGGAAACCAACGAGAGTAACCAGAGCTCTGATCAGAGCTATCCGCGAAAGGAGCAATATTATTCCATCGATGCCGCATTTGCATGAAAACTGCTGATTCCCCTGACCTTCGCGGTCTATTTATAGCCAAGCCTGTTGATGCCCCACGCACTCGAACGGACGCTTACCTGGTCCGGCTCTTGGTGTCAGTCCGTCGTTGTCCTACCTGGTCGACGACTGACACCGGTTACCCTTTCTTTCGGAAACTCAGCGCGATCTACCGTTCCTGATCGACCTCCTGATCTGTCGATCCTCAACTTTCCTTCGTTTCGATCTTTGTTCATTTGAACATCTTTTATACTAGTGTCTTATCATTTTCTTCAAAGCAAAATGAATTTTCATTTTTGCACATATTTTCCTTTGATTTTAATTAACGATACTGTCGTTGACACGGAATAATTATGCACACAAGGTAAACCATTATCACCTACTTTCTCATAACTTTGAAATGAAACGTTTATAGCCAACAATTGGGTAAAAATTTGTCCGTGTTTGCATCTGCAGAAAAGATTGAAACACCCGGTATAATATGCACAACTATCGAACTGAAATTCTTATTATCTTTGAGTAATGAATATTTGCAATGAAATAAGGACTTTGAATGAAAAAGCATCTTAAAATGAGCTCCTGCACCGTCGTAACAGCATCAACTTCTTTATGGAACCCGGGGTGCATTTATCTGAAATGTTATTAACACATTCCATGGTAATGAAGACGTTCGAGATGAGTCTCGTCCTGTTTGATTCTGCAAAACGACGGTCCGCGATATTGGCAACGATTCATTTAATAGAATAATAACTCGAACGGGAATATAGAATTTTCTCGCTAGACTGGTCGGTAAAATGATCCAGAAAACTGTCATCCGAGACGAGAAACGTTCTCGTTGAGCATATAGATTTCATTGGGAGAACGTGTGCAGAATTCTCTTAACACGCTCGATCTCGATGATGTCCGATATCATACGGATCGATCGGTCGTCGTTGAGATCGATAGAAATATCGTTGCGTTAACATTCGAGAGTAGTGAATATAAATAAAAGATTTCGGCCGTACAGTCTCACTTATCGAGGATCATCGTCGTGCCTTTCAGAGATTCCCTCGGACGTGTAGGCGCGAAATAGCATTGCGATACTTTCATCTTGTGCAATAACAGTGTAATAATAGCGCTTCTGCGGTAGCTATCGGTCCGGTAATAGCGGACGGTATGCCCGTTTCGCGTCTCCTATGCATTATTTATGTATACACGCGTAATACGTGACAGTTGTAAAAAGTCTATCATAACGATCGCAACGAAGAGTGACGTTCCTCCGAACGATTCACAGCGGAGATGACTTGTACCACTCAGCCCGTACGATTCGACATTTGTAGCTTCCATTTCCTCGTCTCCCCCGACACCCCAACCCACATTATATCTTTACGTTTCGAGTGACGTTACGTGATTTCCACGATGAAGTAATCGTCCGGCTATCTTTAGCCACGCACGACCACCGATCATCGACTACCGGACCATTCTTCGTCCCGTCTGCCAGCGTTGAGCAACGCGTTCACGTGGCGTTAAATCGTGACTTTTTACTACCGTATCAGGAAATACGTCACGATTTCTGACGTATCTCAAGACCGCGAAGTCGCGTTTCACGCGACACTGGATTCGGTGGCTTCATCCTGCCGTTATCGAGCAATTTCTTTCACCTTCAAATGGTAAAAAAGGATGAAACGAGCGTTGAGACGGCTGGAAAGCCGGTCGATTGCTAGCTAAATACATTGCTATCTTTAGCAACGAGGAACGAACCGAACGGAGCGTGAGAATACCGGTTCCCTGCGAAACGATACGATTTGTTTGCCACATTATCGCCAGGTTAAATATATCGCGATAGCGTGAGGAATTTACGAGCGAGTGGACGCGCCATTGGCCGAGCCTGGCGTCGAGATCGCGTAAAAGCCACGGTATTACGTAAAATTAACGCGGTGCGTGCGCGCACCGGTACCATTTTTCTTTTTTCTTTTTTTTTTTTTTTTTTTATCAGGGAAATACTTGCATGCGTTGCGATTAGCCGGCTCGGCTCGACTGCGATTACGCAAGATGAACACGGATGACATAACGTTGAGAAATTCATCAATAATGATTAATTCGACTCGATTCGATGCCACTTATTCCTTCTTACATGTCGTATCTTGATTTCAATGATTTCCCCCGGCGACAAAGGAAGCTCGATGAGTTTCGGGTATCTCTTCTTTGTCTGTCTCTTAATTGGTATAATAACACTGATGAACGAGTAATTAGAGGATCGTTTACTCAACATTTTAAAGGCTTAATGTGCATACCACATTCCTCGAAGCAGTGATCCTCTGATTCAGAGAATCATTGTTGCTCTTATCATTATTGTGCCTTTATACTACTTAGGAGTGTCAATTATCTGTTTCTCTCTGATTTTAATTAAACTTGGATTTGAAAAAATATTTTCGTCCGTTTCCTTTTATGGGTGAATATTCGTATCTAGGGGATGAAGTCACCCTTAAATTTATGGTAAGAGTGATGCTGAAGACTGCGATCGTATTTTCGAGGGGAAGATACTGACAAATTTGATCCGACAGTACCACTGTCTCGACCCAATAAACCTAATGCTCCAATTTACAAACCACCCTCGAAGGAGGCAAGATCTCGGGGCCAATAACACGTTCACGTTTCTCGACAAGTGGGTCAATTGGTTTTTACATAACGAGAGAGAATAGAAGGAAGGTCTGATGTTCTGTTGAAGCATCGAGTAGGTGTATAGGTGTATTCTGTAATCGCGGCCGGTGGTTAAGAGAGGAGAGGCAGCGGTCCATTCATCACGGACAGAGGAGAAACACAACGCGGACGTTTTTACTGGAGTAGACTCTATTTTTAGAGGCGGGAATAAAAGAGTGAATAGAGTGTGAGAATACTGGTTTAGCGGGCGAGCAAGTCCGACTCGTTTGCCCCGTCATTGGCGGCTCGTGTCCGCTTGTGCTCCAACAGTGGGAAAGAAAAAAAGCCTAGGGTGCAACGTAATGGGTTGCTTTTCCATCGGGTCGCATATAAGTATCCTTGATCCTCCTCTGGGAAATTGCCTCCCCGACGACAGAATTTATTTATTTGAAAATTTCAAGCTTTCTATTTGTTATAGCGTAATGTTAATACTGTTTCCAATTTCTTTCCTCAATTCTTTGATCAATTATTCCCTTTTACTTTGGCCTGACAATCGATGACGCTTCTGGTCTCGATGTCCCGGCTAGCTACTAGAGTTTCGTTCGCTATAAATTTTCCAGCCTGGCACAGCTTCTAGGCATCATTCTAGTTTTCCCGATTGTGTATCATCGTGTGATTCACGGTACACGCTTCGATCGAATCGTGACTAACGTGTTTTTTAACCTTGGCTCCGACACTTTGTCAGCGTTCAAGGATCGTTCTTTTCGAATTAACCGCCACAGCAGCCGGTGTGGATGTAATACCGAAAATATTTCTTGCGAGCTGATAACTCCGGGGACACCCGGATGTCCCATAGCGTACACACACGGATCGGCAACGAACTCTGATCTTTCGTTCGTTTGAGGACGATCGGTCCCGAATGTTGAGAATATTCAAGACGTTCTTTCTACTTAAACTGCCTGATGTCTGCCGTTCGAAAATAGCTGTCGTTTAGTGTCAGCGATTCCCTCGTTCGTGTATACACAAACAACCGTCGTGTAAAAGAGAAAGAGCAAGAGGGAGAGATGGGAAAAAAAGAGGAATTCCTTAACGACACGCTGGAAACACGTGTCAGCACGTTGTTGTAAAGATCCAACATTCTCCACCTTTTTCCGTGAACCCGGCTGCTGCTTTACACCCATAAAAAGGTTAATGTACAGGGGATAAATCGATACACCAGGAATAATTATGTTCGTCGGGAGATCGGTAAAGGAGGAGACAAGCGAAACTCGATTCACAAAGTGGCGAATCCTTGGTAGACACCCGACGTTATTTCGACGATGCCGTTGCAGTTCGGTTTTAATGTGGGTGCCGCCTTAAGTAACGACGACGCGGCTGGTTTCAGGCTAAAATACACTCAATTAACCCTTAATTGGCCGGCACCAATTATGGGCCCAGCGTACCGACGCGTATTCATTCGGTCAACAAGAATGTATGGTCGGCCGGCGTTGTTCTTCCCTCGTTTTACGACGACGACGACGACGACGTCGTTCGTGCCTCCTCTGGCACGCAGATAAACGAATTTCTTCTTCACTAGAGGAGCTTATCCGAAGATTCGAGCACGTGATCAGCACGTTTGATCATCTTGTCGCGTGGAAAGTTCGCGCCTCGACATCTACTACTATATTTATCTAACGTTTACAACTTAGACTACACATTTTTTTTTTTTTAATCTTTTTTGTTGTAGGAAGTAGTATCTTTCGAAATGAACATATTATATTTGGAATGCGAACGTAACTGTCAACGGAGAAATATCTGGTCGTTAAGTCAACCATCGAGATACCTCTGAGAATTAACGTTAAGGTCAAGTTTTACTGCTCGTACATCATCCTTTTCGCGATAACGAGATCATCGGGCTTCCTAGTTGATTTGCCAAGATCGGTATTCGCGAATAACTTGGTCGGCTTTCGTTTCTCTTCCGCCTTCAACCGCGCGCGACTGTTCGCATCGAAAGAAAGCGCGGCAGAATCTAAAATCTGTTCGAGAAAAATGAAAAATACGCGTTTTATCTTTCGAATGATAATCCTCGTGGTACGCCTCCGTACGATGGAGAACGGTTTGAATTACAAGTACGAGGATCTCGGTGAAATCTTGAACATAAGCCGTGCTTTCAAGTGGTCGTTTCCCGCGATACGCGAAGTGCGTGCGATTTAACGAGCTAAGACATCTTCGTCGCAATCGCCTTAATTTGTCGTTTGCTAAGCTCGTTCTATCACCAACGTTTAAACCTAATGTTACATTCTAAATATAATTTCCGTGCAACGAGGCCGATCATTCGCGGAACAAGCGGCTAGTTTCTCCTCTCTCGTTGGTGAACGACGGTGTAGAAAAACGAAATAGAATTTCTGTTTTCATTCGTTTTTCATTCACCTTGGGAAACGAAAGAATGCTCGAATGACGATAATTATTGTTGCAAGGTATTTTTAAATGGAGAGTGTCGCCGCGTTTACGTGATCCGACAGGAATTTCGCTCGACGGTTTATTTCTGTGGTTATAATTGCTCCGGATCGGAGACGATTCAACGCGAGAGTATGCCTCGTTATCTCCGACGACGTTCGTTCGTAAAGACGACAGAAAAGTCTCTGTTAATGGTGGGAGCCGAATATAAATTTCGCGACAAACGCGTCCTTATCAACTTGCTCGCTTGCTTGGTTGGTTACTTACCCTTTAAATTCGTGCACCGTTCTCTATCACTGTCTGTCAATATTTGCCGCTAATCGGTCGACGAAAACAACGTAAATCATATAGTATTACGACGGTGTGAACGATATTACAGCAGCCGTATTACAACGACTATCCGTTATCAGTCGAGCATATGTCCAAGTGTCTGTGTTTATCGGTCCCGACTATATTTAGACCGGGTATTGCTTTGTCGAGCAACACGAATCGAATCAAGGAAGGAAAGTAGACAATTTATTCTCCTTTCGAACGGAATCACGAAAACGAGCCGCGGGACCCGTTAATCAGACGCTCCTAGCTACAAACAACATCCCAAGGATTTACTTTTGCTCGAAAACCGTACAAAGTCGGCATTCTAATCGAAAACAGATACGAAATCGTGTGCGACGACGTATTCCCCGCGGAAAGTTCAACAGCTTCGATACGCGTCATGCAATATTAATTAGCCATTACCATAAAACGAGCGTTAACATCGGCTAGAGCGCACCAGTCGAAAACGCTAATTACGTTTTAACGCGCCATATCGACCATCCCAATTTTCACGTCGCACACTTTCATCGATTCGTGTACGTGGGCAAAATAAAAATGTCAATGTTTGGAGAAATTGTGATTGTGTTTTGCAAACACTGCCACGGCGGGAAAGTGCCTATTTTAGATTGAAAATAAATAAGCGTAAAGGCAGCGAACTAATTTACTCCGCGTTCGAGGGTTCGTTTGGGATTAACCGACCCTTCTGCTCCTTTTCGACCTGGCCGGGATTCTTGAATGGTTGTCAGGTAGGACCGAAATCCCACGGCGTTACACCAGAGAGAGAATGAGAAAGAGACTGGTGTATCCGGCGTCATTCGAGTATATCCAAGGATACCGACGCCACTATACACCGTGGCTCCACTAACTGCCTATGTTTATCGCCAGGCTATATTTAGCCTGGGCTATTGCTTTGCCAAGCGACAGACTGAACGAACCAGCTACAACCAACACGGGCAGCACCGGCATCGGCATCAGCATCAGCAGAGGCAAGCAGAGGCAGTTGCCTTCCCATCTCCTCGATTCCTCTGGTTCTCTCTCTTTCTCATCCTATCCCGTCCCATATACGAGCCTACACCATCCGTATGCTCGTCTCTCGGACTCCCAAGCAGAGTTGTAACCTCGTCGGCCAGCGACACCCACCGGTGAACCGATCTGCCTGGATCAGGACGAGATCCAAACGTATCTCTATCCGTTACGCCATTCCGTTGGCCGATACGTTTCCCAACTTCACCGTGAGCTTTTCCGCGGAGGCGGTGCCGATTCGCGAATCCAAAGATCCACTCGAATCCATCGGCAAACTCTACCGAACCGATACGACTAGTTTGCTCGCGGGAATTACCCAAAGATTATGTGTCGCTGATGTTCGGAATGGAAAACTTTCCAGAGACGAGGATTGAGAAGGCAGATAATTATCGTAGACCGGGTGTCTATGACCCTGACCGAACGAGACCGGGCGCACCGCTGAAAGTTGTCCACGTGCTCTACGAAGAGAGTACACAATCGGCTGCCGCGGTGGTTCGTGTCTGATTTTTCATCGGTACGCATTAATTTCCATTCGATTGTTTCGCCATTCAAGGATACAACGTCGCGCGCACAACTATCGCTATTTGTCCGTTGGGTACCTATAAATAGACGCTGTTGATTTATGAATAAATGAAAGCACCGCCCTGTTTCTGTGTCCGCGCATCCCCCACCGCGATTTCACCTAGCGTACGCGCATGCGTCCGCGCTATTTCCTCTAGTACGCATGCGCCCGTGCGTAAAAGAGTTGTGTACTCTCCCCACTCGGGCGAGTGGTGCACGCGTTCCTGGTGAACAGGGCCGTCGAGCAATGATTCTCCGGTTTAGAAATGTATTTTTAGACTGTGTACCGTTCGTTGGGGCACAATTTGAACACCTTTCTCGGGTGATAAATCTTCCAGATACATAGCGCGCGGATTGCGAAACACAACCGACTCGATTCGACTCGACCCGGCCGTGTTTTAGGAACACAGGTTGAACTTTCTCTGGTTCGGTTCGGTTACGCCAAAATATTGTTTCGCTTTGTAAAATTTTTACCATTTTTATTGCCGCTGGAAGCAGAAGGAGTGCCCTTGGTATATGTCTCCGTCTCTATTATAAAACCAGACGGTTACAACATTCTGCTTCTCATTCCTCAAATTAGAATGTATAATGGCGTCTTGAGTTAGTAAATACGCTCTATTATGTGTTTATATCGGTGCTCGTGGTTGTATGCGCGGCACGAGGCTAAATATAAATACAGTCGGATCTAAATATTGTTCAACACCTTTGATCTCTTCGAATGAAGTTCCATATTCAGTTCGTTCAATCGGTTATTTATACGCTTGTTGTTTTTTCCCCTTCCTTTAAGTTTTCAATCTACACCGTGATAAAGTTGCATTAATTCCTCGACGGTCGGAGAATCCCCCAGAAGAAATCAATTTCACTCGCTGGAATGAACGATTTGCTCGAACGATAACGCGTTTATCGTCGTATAACAAAAAACTATGTATATGCGAAAGAAGAGGAGAAAAAGCTTCTCTGGAACGTTAATCATAGCGTCATTAGCGTAAGATCGAATCAAACCTATCCTGGCGGTTAACGATTTCATAACAAGTTAATTAAAGCGTTTAATCCGCCCACTTTCTGATTGCACCCTGTTTCTCGAGCTCCTCGTTCATCCGCGTTAAACCTTTTAACGATTGCGTAAGATACAGAAAAACGATGTTATCACCGTGGTCGCGTTACGATTTCCACGGTCCCATCTTGTTCACCTGGTTGGCCGTTAATTATTCGCGTCTTCGGGCCTGTTTAATTGGCAGAAGGGACGATTGCCGGCGCGAAACACTGTCACCTAATAAAAACCGAACGATCTCGTACGATGAAACGAAGCCGAAAAAACGAATCGTCCTCCTTCTTACTGTTTAACGAGCATCCCTTATCGATCGACTGATCGTATAATTTAGGAAGTTATGGCCGATGGAAAGTAACAACGACCGAACGAACGACCGACACTCTCTTCGTAGGGATTAGCCGAGAGCGAGGGGCTTTAATTGGCGTAAGGCTGCGTCCCCCGTGGCTTCAAGTTCAATTATCTAATGGCGAGCTCGGCCGCTGCGCTCTTTCCCCGGCTGCTTTCTAATTCCTTGGAAAGAATTCGCTCGGTCAACGAGAGTCTCTCTCCTCGTCCCTTTTTTGGTCGTGTTCAGGGTATCGGGTCGGGTCGTTAACATCCCGGACAACGGTCGCGTTTTCACCGTTTCCCGTACGCACGGTATCGTGAAAGAAAATGTAACTTTTCATCGGGGAAAGGAGAAAGAAAGGGGCGACTAGCGAACCGTAACGTAGGAAAGAAGGAGAAAGAAAAAGTTAACGAGCCAAGAGGATTATCGATTGATATTCAAGATAAAGGAGGCACGGTTACGTTTCAACGGCGGAGACCTCCGAGAGGAACGAATTTATCTGCGACACGGAGCGTTGTCGTTTGGCAAGATCTTGGTGCACGTAAACGGTCTCCCTCGAGAACACTAATAGCCACCATTAACGGGCCAGGACGTGATCCGTTCACACGCTCGCGAATTCCGGGAAGCTATCTTTCCGTTCTGCCGTGTGGTAGCAAGCGTGTTGTATCGGGAAGGGAGGTATTTCTGGCACAACATTACCGTTGTTGCTTGTCACCTTCGGCCAGAGAGAAATGTCGCCTTGCCAGGCCGGCTGAAAAGCGACTAACCGGACACCACCGGGGTGAAGACACTTGCCCTAACGATTCCGTGTAACTTCTTCGATCCTGGAGCACGATAAACTTTTCGTTGCTTCAGATATACAGATGTCGTTGATTAAGTCTTTAAAACGATCGATGGGAAAGTCGCGACGCCTCGGCTGTTCGGGAATCAAGGTGTCTAGATCCTAATCAATCATTTTTCACCGCTTCTGGAGCAGTTCTCGTAAACGATTCGCGACATTGTTGACATTCGCGATGCGACGCTGTCAAACGATTAAACGCTAAATCAATATTCCAACACGTTCTTAACTTCCTTTCGAGTCTTCCTCCTCAGGTGTGACTTCCGTCTCTGGCAAACACAGGAAGGGGATCGTAGAGTGCGATGAATAGAAGCTTGTTTTCCAACCGAGCATCGCGATCGTTCGTGATTTCAGCAGGCCAAAGCGTTTGACCGGCGCGGCGCGACGATTTGCACGATTAAAGTGACTCGAAAGATACGTACAACGATTGCCCCATTGTTATTCAGCGAACACGACGATTGTCGATGCGCCGGGACGAGCAGCCGTCGCCGCGCCGCGCCGCGCCGTTCCACCACGTAAAGACGAGTTTAGAGGCATAATTTTGAGGGACGACGCGGATCACCGTGCAGAGGCGGAAAGATGAAATATCCACGAGTCATGTTTTATGGATGCGGCGAACAATTATGAGACAGTAGGACATAAATTTAAAAAAGTACCGCAAAGAATTCGCGATGAGACGATGCTAAAATAATCTTGCCACCGGTCGCAACCGTTGTCGACACATTGTTAACTTGACGTGTAATCATTTTTCAGAAACTCTTTCGTTTACCGAGATATTTACTTTGAACCATTATGTTGAATGAAAAAAAGGGAACAATATCTACTATAACACCGGAGTAACAGAATCTGTCTATGCATTCGTTGAAATAGTATCGTGGCACTCGACAAAGGTACATAAAGGTAGTTTCAACGCCTCCAACTCTGCGGCGTTAACACCGGTGGTGTCTCGGTCAATACCGGTGATACATCTGACTTCGAAACACGCCGGATACAACTTCGGTTCAATTTCAAATCTCTGAACCTGTCCAACCGGGACACCTTCCATAATGATCACAACTTCCAGGGAAGCATTTCAGTACAAGCATAGACTCGTGGAAAAGTTGAACGTCACCTTGGAAAAGTTGAAGAAAAACGGACACGAACAGGAATTCCTTGATCAGCTTTCCAAAGGATCGCGACTTTGTTGCACAACTGTATCAGCGGATAGAGAAAAGGCTTGTGTGTAGCAGTCCGCGGAGAGCACTCCGGCTCTCGCGAGCTCCCTCAAGGTGGTCTCGTCTAAATATAGCCGGGTAGAGCCCAGAATAACAGCACGTCGCGAGCCGGCAATGACCAAAGCCCGCCTCGTTCACCAGAGGCAACAGAATAACCGACCAGGTTGGTCAGTTTTGTCTACCGGTCCGCGACTCGTTCCTCGGCCGAGCCCGGAGAAGCATCGCTGCCTTAAAACAATACAATTCTGGCCCCGTGTTCCCGACTGCCTTCTCCTTTGTTTGTTAGCCCCGGTTCGACAGGAACGAGGGGACTGGTTTCTAAGCCAGACCAGTTTCGTCCACCGGATCATCGATCACCGCGGGCGTTTTATGCAAAACCTGGGGACACGACACGTTGCGTCGTCCCCGCGTCTTAGTTACGTACGGTTGCATCCTTTGCCTCTGACGCATCCATGCATCTCCAACTTTTCTTACCAGCAAATTCACATTCACGTGATGGACTAACGAAGGCATCACCTTCCGAAAGGAAATTGCGAGAAGCCAAAGGTAGCCAAAGAAACCACAGCATTTTCATAGGCAATTGCATAAAAATTTCATTGTTTGAAACTTATTATCAGTTCTCAGAAGGATCGCATTACTTAGGATGATCTAATAATTTTGTTATTCTTATGCGTCTCGATCGACTTCCTTCCGTCGAAGCGAAGCCGGATCCATTTCGTTCCTTCTTCCTTTCTTCAATGGACAATTACAATAAGCTTCGCTATCGTGCGACACAGAAGTCAACTTCCTTTCAGCGAATTCAATCGAACGAAGCCGTCGTTCCTTCGTTGGTCGTGCGACGCCAGACATCCGGTCTCCAGAGAGAATCCTGCTGAAAGAGGACTTCAGAATTTGCCTATGTTTTCCTTATTCTATCCGGTCTCGTCCGACTGGCTATTTTCACTCGAAATCTCGCGCAAAAAGCGCGGAATAATCCTGATCAGATGAATTAATTGCTGATGATGGCGACTTCCTGGAATCGTGGGAGGACGGTTAGAGGACGTCGGAAAAACAGAGGGTTTATATCTTAATCCTCATGAAACTGTTATTAATTTTAAGGCTGAATAATTGTTGCCCTAATTACGAATCTAAGGAGGTCGATGTCGTAACGATAGGAGAATGGCAATAGAAACAGTCGCTATGAATAGGTTGGATGCATGAATTTCGTGGCTGTGCTGTTCGATCGAGCAG